TTAAACCTTGGAACTGAAGTTTCCTTTGAATGTGATAACCATAACAACAAATAAAAAGTAAAGTTTGACATATGACTGATTTGTTTGTTCTTTACCCTAATAATTTACGAAAAAGAAAATTCCACATTACCATGTGTAAATAACTACCACTCATGATCAAAAGAAAAACAAATTTGAACAGCATTGCATGTATAATCGAAACTATCGATATTCCTAACTGAAATTGATACTATTGATCGGAAAATGATTTAACAATCAATATATTGATTTTAAGTGCTTACCAACAGCAATATATCGATATTTCGATTTATCGTGACACCCCTATCGGGCAAGGGTAGAAACTAGGCTTTGACAAAGGCTAGTGGACACGCTTGCCTGGGGAAGATGAGGATCCTATGGCATTTCACTATGAGTGAGTGAGTGAGTGAGTATGGTTTTACCCCGCTTTTAGCAATATTCCAGCAATATCACGGCGGGGGACACCAGAAATGTGCTTCACACATTGTACCCATGTCGGGAATCGAACCCGGGTCTTCGGCGTGACGAGCGAACACTTTAACCACTAGGCTACCCGACCGCCCCATTTCACTATGAAGTCACTGCTAATTTTGCACACTGAATAAAACCACTTTGTGACATGAGCTTCGCTGATATTCCACAGGCTTACTGAAAATAGGGTAAGAGATCATTGTCATGATTTTTAATATATAGAGAATACTACACTCATTCTCGTTAGATACCATTTTTACGAAACGAGTGGACTTTCTATGGTATCTGACCGAGCGAAAATACGCTTCAAGGGGGACACCGATGGCACAACCGGATCATCCAGAGTAAGTCTAGATATCTGTCCAGATAGTTTAAACAGACTTCATTTCACCACGACTATCCTTTTACGTGAAATCAAATTGAAAGTTGCGAAAATGGTCGGGTGCGTCACGCTCAAGGGACGCGCTTGATCGGCAGTCGTACATTGTAAATCGATTTATAGATCTAGCTCGATTATATCTCTGTAGGACCTCTATGCATAACTTATATAGAATGCAAACCGAATTTGATGTGTGTGACTATCTTGTTTGGTTTAATAAAGTGTTTGTAAATATCTCTCGTTCTCATGAATTTCTTCAGTTCTGCCTTGTAATCGCAAAATGAATGACGTCTCGCGATTTTTTATGAATGAAAAAAGTAGTCCCGGTGTGACAGAGGTCACGGTTATCCAATCAAAACGAATAAAACAAGGTCAACCTTGTACGACACACGTGTGACGTACGGATTTAGTATCTTACCACCTGTATCTTCACCACGTGGGTAATAAATATATATACACACTGCCAAAAGCAGAGTGTTACAATACCCAAAAGAAACACGAGTAACATACATGTTGGTTAATATATGTAGAATTACTTATATACAAGTGATATTAGATTGGTTCGATGCACAAATGAACATACTGTAGAGTAAACCAATTCTCATGAACGTATCACATGCGACGTCATAGACTTGAGATGCACGATGTGTCTCGTGCAGGATTAGTGTGTAAAGTTTGGAAATCATGTGCAGCATATCGTGACAAGAATAAAGACACTGTGGTAACACTTGACTGATTGTCAGTTTTGTAATTAAGTGGTACACATTGGAAACATCTCTTCTTAACGTACATACTTCTCTCCATGTTTCTGGTCACATTTCTTTTGGCAGTGAGTATACTTATCAAAAGAAGTTATAGAACACACACTTTTTGTTATATGACTATAGTTAATATGGCTGGGTATTTGGGTATTGTAACACTCTGCTTTCCAATTGTGGGTGATTTTTAACTTCTTTGAGTATTATATACAGCGTTATTGAGAATTATAATAGTTTACCTTTGAGCTACGGCCTTATTAGAATCCCAACAATACAGACACAAGATGACAGGAGGCATTAGAGATGATATCATTTATCTTTATCATATCACAGATCACGTGATGGTGGCACTGATGACAACACAATAATACACGTCCTGTATTAAAGTGCAAGGGACAATTATCATGAAAGAAGTTATCTTGTGATTGCAAATGCAATGTATACATGGTATAGTCACATAAGATTATCTAACCTAAACATGCACAATACCTATGTAATAATAGGTAACAGTTTGGTACCAAGAGAATCTATTTTAAGAAAATCAATACACAAAAATATTAATCCTCCTTGAAGGATTGGGAAAAATTACTTTTACTGCTTGTTATACTGCTCAAAAGAAGTAAAGGACCACTCAATTCTTTCATATTACTGTCGTTAATTTGTCATGCCATGACATATTAACGATAGTAATGTAAACATATCGGGTTTAGCAGGACAGATTAACTACAGCAATATGAAAGAATCGGGTGGTCCTGAACTTCTTTTCAGCAGTATAGTATTGTAAAGTATAGGGGGATGGGTACCCGGGTAGTTAATTTGGACTCGTCCCAGCCCTAACTTCATGGACAGCAGGATTCACAGACATAATCCTTACAATTCAAAAGATGAAAAGGGTTTCATCATGATCAATAAAAAATGGGACCAACACCTAAGTTATTATCTAGATCTTGTTGAAATGATGTCCCACCTAGATAATTTTAAAAAGTGCTTAAACTCATTGAAGGAGGTCATTATTGAAAGGGAAAAAACTCTCCTATATCATTAAAAAAAAAAACTTATGAAAAATGTATCTTTATTCTGACTGATTGACATTGTTTTGTATGAGATGACATATATTATAATTTCATTTTAAAGACTATGGTTTTGTTAGATCTGTACACTTGGTGTATCATGACTGGAACCCATTGTATGATTAGTCGTAGTAGCAGTAGCAGCAGTAGTATGGGTAGTAGTAGTAGTAGTAGTAGTAGTAGAGTAGTAGTAGTAGTAGTAGAAGCAGCATCAGCAGTAGAGTGGTAGTAGAAATAGTGGTAGTAGTAGTAGAGTAGTACTAGTAGTAGTAGAGTAGTACTAGTAGTACTAGTAGTAGAAGCAGCAGTAGTAGTAGTAGTAGTAGTAGTAGTAGAGTAGTAGAAGCAGCAGCAGCAGTAGAGTGGTAGTAGAAATAGTGGTAGTAGTAGTAGAGTAGTACTAGTAGTAGTAGAGTAGTACTAGTAGTACTAGTAGTAGAAGCAGCAGTAGTAGTAGTAGTAGTACTAGTAGTAGTAGAGTAGTAGAAGCAGCATCAGCAGTAGAAGTGGTAGTAGAAATAGTGGTAGTAGTAGTAGAGTAGTACTAGTAGTAGTAGAGTAGTACTAGTAGTACTAGTAGTAGAAGCAGCAGTAGTAGTAGTAGTAGTAGTAGTAGTAGAGTAGTAGAAGCAGCAGCAGCAGTAGAGTGGTAGTAGAAATAGTGGTAGTAGCAGTAGAGTAGTACTAGTAGTACTAGTAGTAGAAGCAGCAGTAGTAGTAGTAGTAGTAGTAGTAGTAGTAGTAGTAGTAGTATTGTTGTATCGGTAATTGTTATCATTTCCTTTGTCATAATGTTTTCAACTAATGCTAATAACTAATAATATTTTTAGTGAACACATCACATCACGACACCACTAACTACCCAGCCTGCCATCCATACTTTATCATTCCAGGTCACCATTATCAGAACAATACAGTTGGTGTTATCTGATATATCACTGGAGTCATAGCTAGACCTTGGGGTCATGACACTGACAATAGGGGATGTACCCTACACTTAGCTTCTTCGACAAAAGGAAATTCGTGGAAAAGCTGATTGTTCATAGCTCTTATCCCTATACCATTTCATCATATTGCCCATGGGGTGTGAGATGAGGTGAAATGGGGTTTAACGTAGCGTCCAAGATTATTGCACTTATATAGCGACGTGCATGCACGTGTATGTATGTGTGAGGCTGCTTGTACTAGGCCGGACTAATGCCGATTTATAATGCTAGCCCACTGAGATACCATGCCGCAGTTTAACATGAATGCCCCACTCAGACACAGTATACTGACTCCGAGCCGACCAGTTCTTGTTTTAGCCCCTTAATGCCGAGCGCCAGACAGGGTAACAACAAGTACCATCTTTTAACGTCTTTTGGTATGACGCGGCCGGGGATCGAACCCCGGACCTTCCTCTCCGGGCGGACGCTCTACCACTAGACCACGGAGGCAGTCATTGCCCATGGGGTGTATACAGACATGTCACATAGTCATTTCATCATATTGCCCAAGGGGTGTATACAGACATGTCACATAGTCATTTCATCATATTGCCCAAGGGGTGTATACAGACATGTCACATAGTTATTTCATCATTTGCCTTCAGTGGAAGGTGTCGAGAGGGTTAGGGGGTGGTAACAAGACACAAGGCTATTGGGGGGATTGGTGGGGTGGGTGGGTGTGGGGGGTAGGCGGGTTACGAGGTTATTTTCAAAGGGGGGAACCCTTTAAGCCATGCTTTGAACCGTGCCACAAACACCAGGTTCATAGCAACCTTTTTGTTAGCATATATTTCATATGAGTTACACTATTCATTTTAATGTACAAATATAAGAAATTTTTGTGAAGGTTTGGGGCAGTTTACTTTTCTCTCGCCACCCCACCCCAACCCAACCACACCCAATTAATATATGCCTTGGGATTAGCCCATAAGTCCACCACCACCACCCACCCTACAAATCTAAAATTCCTTCCTATGACCCAGAACACCACAGCTCCCCTGTTCACCTTATTGAAACCAAGACAACTAAATCATCTAACTGTACTAAATATGTACTTATGACGTGCTTACAAACATTATCTGCTAACGCAAATCGCTTACTGAAAACGCTTTTTGACTTTTTGGTGGTACATATGTAAGCATGTGACTGCACATTTTACAGGATATCATTTGAAGTTCCCGGTAGGAATATCACAAGACAGTGATACCAGATCTGTCGAATCTGGCTGTCCAGATCTACGCACAAGCGAGGCAAACATATATGATAGCAATTTTTAAGTGTACTTAACATGTAAACATCTAGTTATGAATGTACTCACGTCTGGATGTGTTTATCACGTGAACTTGAAGAGAGCTGCTTGTGAACAGCGCTGCAGACTATCCTTGCCTGCGTGACATATTTACTTCCGGGTAGGCTTTGTCGATGATTGACGTGAAACATCAGCCGCCTATTAAACTGACTGGCGTCGCCACATCATAAACTCCTTATAACAGAGAATGCTTAATTCTAAGAAAAGGAGTGATTTCGTTGAACGATTTTTCCATTATATCAATTTACAAAGAATGAATTTTTTCCAATAGGATGCAACACTTTCGACGAACTAATAAAGTTATTCTTATCGACTTACAGAGGTGGTGGTGTTGGTGGGTGTACTCCCTTGATCGTTGCTCATAATATCAATCACTGCATTGTCTGGTTAAGACTCGATTATGTACAGGTCGACTTCACACTGCTGGAACATTGTTGAGTGCGGCGAAAACAGCAAATAAACAAACGTATGTGATGTTGCAGCATTGGTTTCCTTTACTCTACCACAATCTTCACTCCGTCATCACTTTTTTTATTTTAAAATTGATATACACATTAATAGACAGCAATCAATATTTCACAATCTAGCTTTCGGTATTTGTGTTGCCTACCATCTGTCTTGACCCTACCTGCCACACACCTGCTGTAAAGCGGAGTTACTATTTGAACTCCACATTGGAGGGGCTGTGATATTTTACGAGCGCCTCTGTGTCTTCACTAAGTCTTTACAATCGGATGTATCTGAATCATGATTTGAAGGTGCATACGGTTATGTGACTTACGTTATATGGGTCATCTGCTTTCATAGATTACACATATAATCATTTATTGAATTGACATTTCCTCACATCACGTTTCCTTTACATATTGGGCTTGTCAGGGGTCAGACGGGGTTCAGTGCTAGGCCACCAGAGTTCGTAAAGCCAATACAATTGGGCGTCGAGGACGTACATACCTGATCAGGTTCGATTCCCCTCATTGGGCGTTTGGCAAAACTGTTTAATGATTTATTTTGTGTACTGTGGTAACATTATGAAAACACAATCACATATTTCTGTTTACGAGATCAGTACCGATAATTTGGATCATGTTTAGAGCTGAGGTGATGTAAAAAATAGTAAGTGTCCCATTTATTCAAAACCAGAAAAGAGGTTTGGGATTTCGGCATTTGTCATATCGATAAACAGTAGGCTGGTGATATTCAGTAATATTGCTAGGAATATAGGCGAGCCGTGAGGGGGTCTTACAGTCGATACAAAAAAAAACTACTTTCTGTAAATCACTAAAACTATCAAAATCAGAACATACGTACAGCATCTGTAAATGAGATAAAACCTGAGACCTTCATGGTGTGGACAATATAATAAAACATGCCTTTCATCTTCTATTTCTATTCTATGGTACATGTTATCTATTACCTGTTGTTGTCACTTGTTTGTCGTCACTCTAGCTTGATAACAGTGTAAGAATCTATATCGAAATGTCGCGAGATATGCAGTAAGTTGTTATCCATAAAGTTTACGTTTTCTTATTTACTCACTAACTTCTAGAATGTCAATCAAACAGTTACTAAGTGAGTGAGTTTGGTTCAACGCCGCCTTGAACAATTTCCAGTCATATTACGGCATGTCAGCTTGATGTTGGAGGAAAGCCCGAAGTGATGCAGGTCTCAGACGTTGACCAATTTGGTGAAACCCACGAGCACAGGTATGGTGTGGACAAACCTAGAAACATAATCGGGGCGAACCGGGAATCGAACCCACAATCATAGGTTTCTGGCGTGCCCAAGGGACGCAACTCTGCATAGCGAATTGCGGCGCTTCAGACGACTTGCCCATCCGTTCAGAGAAGGTACCGTGGATACACCGGTAATGACACTGGAAAGCCGAGGGTTTATATTAATAGACGAATGTGAAGGTTTTCAACTAAGGCGAACAAAATGTTCGTTTTTACAAGTTGGGTGAAAAAACAATTGACGAAATTTCTTTTAAAAAAAAAGAATTTTGCAGCGTCTGTTGCGAAGTGTTTAAACAGGGGACATAACTCTTGCAGTACTAATGCGCCGTGATTTCATCTGAAGGAAATTGTTTTCAATTGTTCAAACCAAGTGAACATTGCATCAGGGCGATATTATCTTATGATAACATTTCGCTCCAAAGGAAGAGTACAAACATATCCATCCCTTCCAATTCTTTATAGATCAATCAGATCAATCATTCGAATCATAACTAAGGCCAATCATTTAAGTGGCTTTTTCGTTTCAGTTGGTACTCGATACTGCAATTACAGCATACATTTGCTATTATATATCTCAAAGAGAACACTTTATCACATATATTTTTTAACAAACTAAACGAAAACTCAGTGGCCCTGCAATAATTAGTTCTAGAATGGACTGACTCAAGAGCAAATAAGGTTTCGACTCTATAAACAAATTACGAGTAACGGCACGGTAACTTCTCAGTCTGCCTACATCTCAATCTGCCTACATTTTTTTGACTGAGTATAAATAAGTAATTAGTGTAGGCAGACTGAGAGTAGTGAAATGCTATCTTACCTGGTGAAAAATGGAATGGTCCAATGTAACAGCGAGAGAAAAGGAAGATGTTGCTTCATAAATGAAATTGTCTACAATTTCACAGTTTAGAATAAGATGTTGCTTTACATACATGTGGTATCAACAGTCGATTAAAAAACAACATCGTCCGCACGGCCTTTCAGACACAACACAACAACACAGGGCCGAGAACAAACAATCACCCCGAAGGATGGCATTCATGCCTGAATAGAAGCTTAGGAAAGGCCCATCCAAATTTATATGAATTTGTTTCCAAATTGAAGGAATTTGAGAAGATTGACAATATTCGAAGAGCTCAACTTCAATACGGCGGCCAGCAAGCTCCCCGAAGGAGAGTATAAAGACTCAAAGGCTCAAAAGACTTTAAAAGATGAGAAATAAGTTAACTTTGTATGACCGGACAGTTGACCGGCAAAAACTCCCCTTCGTTGTTCAACATGCAGCCAACGTGGACGTTGAAATTAAACCCTTAAGTTCATGTATGGACATTGTAATCCCACCTTTAAGTTCATGTATGGACATTGAAATCCCACCTTTAAGTTCATGTATGGACATTGTAATCCCACCTTTAAGTTCATGTATGGACATTGAAATCCCACCTTTAAGTTCATGTATGGGTATTGAAATCCCACCTTTAAGTTCATGTATGGACATTGAAATCCCACCTTTAAGTTCATGTATGGGTATTGAAATCTGACCATTAAGTTCATGTATGGACATTGAAATCCCACCTTTAAGTTCATGTATGGACATTGTAATCCCACCTTTAAGTTCATGTATTGACATTGAAATCCCACCTTTAAGTTCATGTATGGGTATTGAAATCTCACCATTAAGTTTATTTATGGACATTGAAATCCCACCTTTAAGTTCATGTATGGACATTGAAATCCCACCTTTAAGTTCATGTATGGTCATTCAAATCCCACCTTTAAGTTATTGTATGGGTATTGAAATCTCACCATTAAGTTTATTTATGGACATTGAAATCCCACCTTTAAGTTCATATATGGACATTGAAATCCCCCCTTTAAGTTCATGTATAGCATTGAAATCCCACCTTTAAGTTTATGTATTGACATTGAAATCCCACCTTTAAGTTTATGTATTGACATTGAAATCCCACCTTTAAGTTCATGTATAGCATTGAAATCCCACCTTTAAGTTCTTGTATAGCATTGAAATCCCACCTTTAAGTTCATGTATTGACATTCAAATCCCACCTTTAAGTTCATGTATGGTCATTCAAATCCCACCTTTAAGTTCATGTATGGGTATTGAAATCTCACCATTAAGTTTATTTATGGACATTGAAATCCCACCTTTAAGTTCATGTATTGACATTGAAATCCCACCTTTAAGTTCATGTATAGCATTGAAATCCCACCTTTAAGTTTATGTATTGACATTGAAATCCCACCTTTAAGTTCATGTATTGACATTGTAATCCCACCTTTAAGTTCATGTATGGTCATTGAAATCCCACCTTTAAGTTTATGTATTGACATTGAAATCCCACCTTTAAGTTCATGTATGGACATTGTAATCCCACCTTTAAGTTTATGTATGGACATTGAAATCCCACCTTTAAGTTCATGTATTGACATTGTAATCCCACCTTTAAGTTCATGTATGGACATTGAAATCCCACCTTTAAGTTCATGTATGGACATTGTAATCCCACCTTTAAGTTCATGTATGGTCATTGAAATCCCACCTTTAAGTTCATGTATGGTCATTGAAATCCCACCTTTAAGTTTATGTATTGACATTGAAATCCCACCTTTAAGTTCATGTATTGACATTGAAATCCCACCTTTAAGTTCATGTATAGCATTGAAATCCCACCTTCAAGTTCATGTATAGCATTGAAATCCCACCTTTAAGTTTATGTATTGACATTGAAATCCCACCTTTAAGTTCATGTATGAACATTGAAATCCCACCTTTAAGTTCATGTATAGCATTGAAATCCCACCTTTAAGTTCATGTATAGCATTGAAATCCCACCTTTAAGTTCATGTATTGACATTGAAATCCCACCTTTAAGTTCATGTGTTGATATTGAAATCTCACCATTAAGTTTATTTATGGACATTGAAAATCCCACCATTAAGTTTATGTGTGGACATAAAAAACACCATTAAGTTAATGTATGGGCACTGAAAATACCGCCTTTAAATTTCGGTATTTTATATGCCGCAGTCAGCAATATTCTTAGCAGACGACAGCAAATGCACGCGCTTCGTAAAGTCCGTGCACCGGAAATATGATTTGATTGGTTTATATAGCCATTACGTGACTGTAAATGTCAAAACTTTGTCATTGCTTGTATAAACAGTCTCAGAGTTTTGCTGAAGAAGAGGTGATTTCAGAAAAAAACAAGAACTCTGTATGCAAAAAGGTGAAATTCGATTATTCAGTTTCACAGAACACAACACAGTCACTGAACAAACAGTATTCAGCTCACGTGCGAATGTAATGTGACAGGCTTTGTCCAGATATAATATGTACAGGAATAGCTTTCCTTCGAATCAGCGTTGTTTTCGATCTGGAATCTATTGTCAAAGTTTACTTACGATGAAACATTTTTGGAGGTAAGTTAGCGAAGCTTTTGGTAAAAAGATGTTTAAACTGTTTTATGATATTCTTCAACTTACATGCATTGCTGTTTTATTGTGATTAGCAAACATTTGTGATGTACATACATGTTGTTGT